TTTGAGACAAGGTCTTGCTGTGTAGCCCAGTCTTGTCATCAAGATTGCAATCCTTTGCCTCTGCTTTTTTTTGGGGGGGATGGGGTGGAGGGTGAGACAGAGTTTCTCTGTGTAGCTTTGGCTGTCCTGGACTCTGTAGACCAGGCTGGCCTTGAGATCCATAGAGATCCACTTGCCTCTGCCTCTCTGAGTGCTGGGATTACAGGGGTGTGCCACTGTGCCTGGCTTGCCTCTGCTTTTTGATGTTAGGATTACAGCTGTGCACCACCTCGCCCAACTATATAGATAGATTTGGAACAAACTTACATAAAGCCAGGATGAGGAGTGAGCCCAGGGTATGACCCTGTTCCCAGCCTGGCCAGCTTCTCCCTTCTGGCTCTTTTCCTTCTCAGCCACAGTGGGTCCTTTTTTTCTCATACTAGTTACCAGTTTACAGGAACTGGCAATCCAGGGGTGTCTTGGTGGCTGCTGCTCATTGCTCACTAGCCCTGGCTAAGGTTATGTGCAAATTTCACACCTTACCCAGTCAGTGAGATGCTAATGGGGTGGGTTGTCACTGAGAGAGCTTTGTCCTAGCCACACCCTGTCCCTAGAGGGGACACTTTGATCCTCCAGTGTCCCTGTCACCTCAATATCTTACCAGCATCTTCAGTGATCTGCTGAAGAACATTGACATGGTGACGTGGGTTCCTCCATGAGAATCTACTTTTATTTTGTTTGTTTGTTTGTTTGTTTTTGAGACAAGGTTTCTCTGTGTAGCCCTAGCTGTCTTGGAACTCACTCTGTAGACCAGGCCTCAAACTTAAGAGATCCACCTGCCTCTGCCTCCTGAGTGCTGGGATACAAGTATGCACCACCACACCTGGCTTGAGAATCTGCTTTTAATTCTTTGGCTATTATACTTTGATGGTACAGGATAGACTCTTGGTAAAGATTTCCATCACTGGTAAATGACCTTGTTATCGAGTTGTCTGAAAAAGGTAACCTCCATGTACCCTGCATGCTCATTGCTCCTCCTCAGTGCTGCAGTGATGTCTGTCTACCACCTTGATAAGTCATCAGGCTGCTGAGACGGTGTGGGTGACCCAGGGCTTTCTCAAACCAGCAGTTGCCCCGTATGGTGTCTCCACCATACCCATGTGAGACACTTGGAGCTGAGGGGGAGGACAGGGCATTTCAGAAGAGATGCTAAGACAGCCAACTGTAGTTATCACAGAGACAGGACAGAGACATCAGCACTGGGCATCATGGTCAGTTGGTCCCAGCCCGTGTCTGTGACGCACATATTTGGTGTCTGATGAAGTTTACACTCATGATGACTGCTCCTCTGAATCTTGTGAGATCAGAGGGCATTGTTGGTTAAAAAAAAAGAAAAATGAAAGAAAAAAGCTGTTTAAAAAAAAGTGTTCTGTAGATGCTCATGTGGTAGGAAGACTTATCTCCATGGCCCTAGAGAGGTCTCAGCCTTGCTTACCCAGCCTGGCCATACTGTCATTCCCAGGACAGCCTGAAGCTCTTACTAGCTGATGATTGCTGTACTCAGGTCTTCACCTTCGTGCACCTGAGTGTCCTGGATGTTTTAAGTGGTATCTGCTCAGGAACCTGGAGGGAGACAGGAAACAGCCCAGCCAAGAGAGCAGAGTAGTGGTCCAAGCAGGAGGCTCGGGCCCAGGATGAGAGGTGTGAAGGAGTGTGATTTGAGGCCACAGAGTGTGTTGAGGCCTTTTGTGAGTTGCTGCTGGCTACGTGGGGTTGTACTAACTTGTTCTCAGGAGCACAGCTGAGCAACAGTCTCCTTCCATCTTGGTAGGGTGACTCACTGTCTGCACTCTGCTGATTTCCCTGAGCCCAGGTGCTAAATTAGCACTCAGAAACCTCAGCTTCCCCACACTCCCACCTTCCTTGTCTCTGCCCTAGTATCACTAGGAGAGTTGATCTGGGGTTCCCTCTTCCTCCCTCATCAAATGGGTACTTAGAATTAATTGTCCTTGTGTATTCACAGGTCACTGGGGTGGGACTGTGGGGATCAAAGACCTTGCAGTATTCCTGTGCTAAGTAGATTGCAGTGCCAGGAGGTTCCTCATGTATTTGGGGACAGTGCCCTACCATGGGTAGGGTGAAATCTGGGGATCAGTGTTGAGTACTTGCCCTGATGGAGATCCAGGGTGCAGTTTTCAGTGAGCTTGGACTAGGCTCCTAGTGCCTTCAGTCTTCCAGATGCCATATATTTTCAGGAGGGCTCATGTGTTCAGTCTACTGCTGTACTAGATTCAGGGAGTTATTAAAAGAGATATAACCAGCCAGTCTATGACCTTAGCACTCAAGAGGTTGAGGCAGGAGCATTGCAAGTTCAAGACTAGCCTGGGGCACATAGTCAGAGCCTATCTCAGATAAAAACATACAAAACAGATAAACAGACAAACTACAAAACTGGCTCTGGTTTGTCTTGTTGAGCACTGTCTCCTGCAGCGTTCCTGGGGAACCCTTTTTTTCCATGCCTTGTGTTTGAACGGCCTTCTGCTGCAGATTGCAAAATGCAGAATCTGAGGCGCATAAAGCTAGTGCTCAGCACCAGGAAGCAGCTGCATGGTTCCAGGATCAGCCCAGGAAGTGCCCTGCCACTGAGTCTCCAGCCCTATACTCACGTCTCCTGAGTATGTGTGCTTAAGGAAAATCTGAAAAACAAAACCAAGACCCAGACCTACCGTGCAAACGTAGGTGCATCCTTCCCAATTCTGGGTGGGTTTGATATTTTCAGTAGCTCGGAGGCTGGTTCCTGCATTTTACTCTTGGGGATTTTCACTGTTACACTCTTTTCAGGCAGAAGGTGGTTTTCTAGGACATGGAAGGAAGGTGTGGATAGAAACACCAGTGAGCAGAGTGAGTTGGTTGGGACTGTGAGTCAAGTCAGGGTGGCAGGAATGAGATGCTATGCCAGATGCAGGGGCTGATTCTGTCCTTGAAGCACCTTGAGCTTCAAGTTCCTTCTGTGGCATCTGCCTCTAATTGATGGGGGCATTAACTGTTCTTCCTCAGTTCTGTGCCATTTGAGATTCCAGGAGCTATGGCTGTGATTCAGAAATACTGGAGGTTTTCTATGCTTTTAAAGTGGCGTTGGGGCAAAGCTGGTTTTTCATAGCTGACTGTGTTTGGTTACTGTTCGTGAATGACCTATTCTTGTTCCTTACTCTTAATAAGAGGGGAAAGGTGTGTATTACAAGTGAGAGTAGTATGTAGGACACTAGAATGGTTCACACAGGAGGCAATCACTGAACTCTGGTACCTGGTGTTTGTAAGTGTCCTCTGACATTGCCCCTTCCATCCAGGCTAATCCCCACATGCAGCCTCTGAAGTTTTGAGCATTACTTGCCTTTGGAGGAATGGTTTCATGTGACTTTTAGCTAGGTTGCTGGTATAAACAGTAACACTTTCAATGCAGGGCATGCTGATCATTAGTGATCCGTTGTATGAGCTCCTACCCCAAAATCAAGGGACCTCCAGACAGAGGGTGTACAAGGTCGTCCAAGTGGCTCTTCTCTCTGTCTCTCATGCCCATCTTCTTGTTAGTACCAATTCCCTTGTCGAAACTGTGTACCTGTGAGCTATACTGTGAAAAGGCCAACAGGCAAGCCTAGCACTTCTTGGGCCTGGGTCTGAACAGTACCCCTGCAGGGCCAGGTGCCTGGAAGTGTGAATAATGATGTAACTTTAACACTCTGGAGAAAGGGTATGCATCTCTTAGAAGGATCCCCTGCAGTTACCTAAAGGGTGCACCTGATGCTAGTGACCGAGGGCAAGGCGGGAGAGAGCCAGGCACTTAGCCCTATGTTACCAGGAGGCAGCTTCCCTTGCAAAGTGTCCCTTCCCTGGTTGAGAGGTGAGAAAAGGGACTGCAGCCTGAGCTAATGTGTATTTATATAATAATGAGAGGTACCGAGACCCCTCATACCTCTGCAGAAGTACCCTTCATCTCTGCCCCCCCCCCCCCCCCAGACAGGGTTTCTCTGTGTAGTCCTGGCTGTCCTGGAACTTTCTCTGTAGACCAGGCTGGTCTCAAACTCAAGAGCTCTGCCTACCTCTACCTCTGGGGTGCTGGGATTAAAGGTGCACCTAGCTTATTCCTCATTTAATAGCACTACCAACAAATGAACCTGATAAAACTCCCTATGCCACTTTTACAGGAGCTCTAGGGAAAGTGTAGGATGTGAGCAGGATGGGAAGAGGATGCTCCAGCTGGGTGCCTCATGGCATTAAGAACATGTGTCATTTGCTGTGGCCATGGCAGTGTGTTGGACTGAAAAAGACAGGCAGATTTATGACTGATGTTTTGGATCTAAGGTTTGCTTCCCGAGTTCTAGAACTGGGTAGGGTTTTGGATAAATCATTTACAAGAGCAAAAATTACTGACACTGAGACAAGGCAGGTGTAAGGAGTTGTTACTTTTTCTGGTGTGTGTGTGTGTGTGTGTGTATTTGTTGGAAACTCAAAAACAAACTTGAAACTAAGAAAGGAGATGTAAAATTGCTCCTCTTCTGCAACAATGACATATGCATCCCTCAGCAGGGAGTGGGGACGGGGTGCTGCCAGTGCAGACCACTGGCCTGACTTGAAAATGGTTACACACCCCTGGGCCTACCAGGTCCATCTGATCACTGTGCATGCTCTACTTGGTGTCTCTTGTAGTGTTCCGTTACCAGCTGCAGACAATGCTTCAGGTTCCTGCGCTTCAACCCATCAGGTGTCTTTTAATAGGAGGTTGCTGCATGGCAAGCTGAGTGATTTGGAAATTCAGCAGAAATCTATTTTCTCGGTGAACAGTAAACCTCTAGGTTTGGTTGAATTGTCACTCTGCTTTCCCAGCTCAGCGCAGAGCTCATGGACAGCATAAAGGGAGGTGCGCATTGGTTTCACTGGGGCAGCTGGTGCTCCCGCAGGTGCTGCCTAGGGTGGAATGGCTGGGTGCTGGCAAACCTGCTCAAGGTCCCCTTTTTGCCTTGTAGACTGGGCTGCTGCCATCCGTGTTGCTGCTCTGGACTGTGCAGAAGAAAAGAACCAGGACGTGTGCCGCACATATGACATCCACTTCTACCCCACCTTCAGGGTGAGCCCC